TATAAGTCGGCCACCACCCCCTGCCCAGATTGCACCTCAGGCTGTGAAGAAAGTGTGCTTGAGTTGCCATTTTTCACTCTACTAAAAACATTCACATCAGGATGCTTCACACTAGCCTAGCAAGGCATGTCCTCTATCACTGTACTATTCCTTACAGAATTCATGAGATAGGTTCATGCTTATGTCACCATAAATTGTAAGTATTTGTGCAGAATACAGTCCAGTGTGTGCACATTCACTAAAACATATATTCCTACAGAAGATATGTAATTCCCATAGAATGCTTAATTAACATTATTATACAGAAAAAGTTGAGACATTACACTTCACATTTTTCATGCTTACTTTTAAAGCAGAAGAGTAATAGTTTTATATATGTGGAAAGGGACTTTAAATTCTCTTTGGCTTATTTTTATTTTTACAAGAGTGTACAGGAGTGAAGAGGAGGGTGCTTTGTAGGAGGAAAGCACCTGTTTAAAATACTTCATGTTCCTCCCTGTGCTGCAATAATTGAATAACTGTCTTGATTTTTAAAAACTACACTGTTTTTACAATCTAAATTTGGCATGCAAATATTCTAGAGAGAAATGAAGTCCTAGAGAAGAGTGAATCAATCCCTGTCTCCCAAAGTCTCTGAAGGAAGATCTCACACCCTTCTGAAAGACATACCGTGATCAAACTAACCTCTGCAGAAGGGCAGCCATTCTGTAGTGTATTTTCCACTAGAGGTCAGCCTGGAGGAGCTCATGATTCATTCTAGCCTTAAAAATCTATGTGTAAGAGTGACTAATAAAGTTTTGGAAGTTTGAAAATTATTATCCAATTAATACTGCATTGCTTCACTTAAACTGAATCAAAGATATATTTTTCTAAATGCCCAACAGCTGGAGTTATTTAAACATGACAGTATTTTAAAGTACGTCAATATGACCTTTTACAGAGCATGTGATGTGCCATCTCAGTTGGCAGGACAATGTTTATGCCCCAATGGAAAAGTTTTTCTTCAAATTCAGCACTGGAATGAAAAACATGAAAAAACAGACAAAATTCCTAAAACTTTTAAAAGAGTATTTTTTTAATTTTGCTTTTTACCTTTAGAAAGGATACATATTTTGGTCAATTTTTCACAAAAAAAAATCTAGATTTAATTTCTTTCTGTAAATAACTGGAAGAGATATGGCTAAGTATGGATTGATGACTATAACATGTTTCAGGTGACTATAAAATATGAAAACTCACAAGTCACCGAACTAGGAGCCTAAGCGTTTCTTCTCCTGTGTTTTGATGACTTTTCAATTTCATCACTTTCAGGAACATTGACCCAGCTCCTTGAAACAACTGCCTTGAAGGCAGTGAAGTTAAGATGTACACTTGCCTCTGAAAATTCAAGGAAACATTTAAGGCACTATCAATAGTTTTAAACATTTATTTTGTTGTGACAGGACATGAGGTCACACTCAAATGGCAAGTCCTAGCTCAGAATTCTTTGCTGGTAACCAAACCCTCTCAAGAAGTCACTGCCTAAAGCATGCCTGTCTGCAGCCGTGAAAAACAGAACACAGTAATTTTGTCCAAAGCCACATAAGGTTTCATTCAGAGAGCTGAAATCTCAAGTGAGAAGCAGCTGATATGTCTATGCTTCTAAAAACAAAGCAGCGCATGAAGTTCACTTGGAGATGAAATCACCTAACTAGATGAAGCTAAGTGAGCTAGCATTTTAAACTGGAGCCTAGAAGACTCTGGGTGACCTCTTTTTTATGTTTGCCATGGACTACCCTCTTCTGTATTTCCATCGTCTACCTGCTGATAATAGCCATTTATTTCATTAGAGGTACAGATTTTTTCCTTTAATAATTTATAATAGAACCCGATAATCTCAGTCCTGAATCCGCAGTAAACTAGGGCATCTGTCTCACACTACTTTACTCTTTAGACCTACTAAAAAAGCAAGACCACACTGGTAATTTTTTTCTGTTTAGTCATCTAGTAAATTGGCATCATTGATTGCAGGAGCTACAAGCATTTAATTGCACCTAGAACTGAACATAAAAAATGGTTACTATGCACCTCTTTTACTTAGCATTAGCTATCACAGGTATGCCAATGAAATGAATTCTGTAACTTATGATCATTGCACAAAATCTTAGAGACAGCTACATACCCATTTCATCTCAGTGCACACCTCTACTAAAAAAAGAATGTGCATGTTTTAAAAGGTGAAAATTTGGTTTAGTTCAGTGGTACGTTCACCTAACGTTCACCTTCTTCCCTTTACTAGTTATCCTAAAAATCAACTAACTGTGTATATTTACTCCTGTACAACAACTGGATATTGCACAGATATATCTCTAATGCATGGCCTGGAGAAATGCAAGACCCATTGTAAAAGGACTGCTCCAAAATACTTCCATAGAGCTGGCAGTCAGAGTTTCACTGAAGCTAGTACGGCAGATTTCACAGATGGAGCAGGTACCCCACCAAGGTACGCAGATGGTATTTGTGGGAACAAGGGAAAATAAAATATAGGTTTAAAATAAATGCAAGAGAAACGCTGAATAATATTGAATCACTCTAGGTATTTCTAAGGGTTTCTGTTTATTTTTTCTACTTCTCAGCATGTAGTGAGTGTATGTTCAGGGCTTTGATACCATTGAGCAAATGGAAGGGATTTAAAACTAGTTTTGTTTCAAACATAAGGTCACAGAAATAAAGGTATAAAGGCATAAATAAAGGCTCCAGGTATTTCTCTTCAGGATTAAATTTCTGCACAAAAGCTTGATGCAAAAGGAGTTGCAAATGCTGCTTCTGAATATGTCAGGCAATGGTAACTAGACTGCATCACTCCTGCTTGACAGTTTGTGACATTATGACGCCCTAACATGTCTGTTAATTAACTAGATCCCAATTTTAGACTTAAGGTGTTATCGTTATACAATTAAACAACTGGGTGATTTGAATACACAGAACTATGCCTTCTTAGTCCTACTGCAGGCATACCAGAAAAATTCAAAAGTTTAGAAATGAATCAAGAAAGAAAAAGAATTAGAACATTTTAAAATTAAGCGGATAAAAGCTTATGAAGAATCGCTCTGTTAGAAAGCTGATACTCAAGAGTCTCTCATTCCACCAAAAGAGCATTTTTAATGCTAACAGAAAGGACTAGCTCTGCTGTTGAATTGGATACCTCTGACAATGGTGGCTCCTTTCCCATTTTCTTAATGGATAGAAAGACACAGCTGGAAAGGGGAGGCAACTACAAGGGGGTGAGGAAAATACAGTTTTAGTTGGTGGCATCTGGATATAAGGAAGCTAGGTAGTCACAGGCAGATCAATCTGAGATGGCAAGTTGACCCTGACATCTACTGGTTTGTGTCCCAGTCCAGTGCACGGGTCTGGCCACTTCTCTCTTCCTCACTAGTTATTCTCAAGCTACGAAAATCTGTTTCTGCAATCTGACCTTGTTACAACTGTGCCATCCAAGGTAGCTTGTCTCCAGATCCCAGGAAAAGTTAACAATGGAAGAAAGAACCGGAGGAAAACAGAACAGATCAGGTGTGGTGGAGAAAAGGTGCAAGGAGAAGAAACACGACAGCCCATGTTTCCTGTTGGACTCCCTAGTAATAAAGTGGTGCTGATGTGTGCTTATTTTGCCATCTCGTGAACTGAAGCTCCACAGTGTTCTACTTTTAATCCCTCTCTAAAGCATCCTCTTTCTAGAGGATCCATCTCTTCATTATTTCACTCACTAGTTTGATCTAATTCTTAGTGAATTGGTGTTCACTTGTTGATTTCATGACCCACATTTCTCTTGCTTAGTAAACACGATTTAAACACTATCCTTAAATTGCATTAAAATTGCCCTTCTTTGGACTAAACCAGTCTGTCTGTGCCCTTGACTCCTCCTGTCAGCCTTCCCAGTTACAGCCTACCATAACACTTGAGCTTTCAGTGACTCATTTCACAACTGTGGTTAGATATGCAGGCCCTATTATGATAGGTCTTGCACTATATCTTCCATGCAAAGAAAAGAGAAAAGCCCTTGGCATTCAGAGGCAGCAGAAAGAATTCTTCGGCGCCTCTCTGGGCTGTCCTTGGAATGGCAAAATCTAACAGAACAGCTTCCGGGGTAGAAAAGCACAAAAGAAAACCAAACGCAAGACATCCGGCTCTGACTTTTGCCATTTAAAACTTACCAGTGACCAGCACACTGTACATAAAGTCTTTCTTCAGTTATTTTTGTTCTTGAACTCTACCACTATTATTTATGCCAGAGCTACAAAAACAAACAAAAGTCCAGTAAAAATGTTTCAAGAAAGTATTTCAAACTAATATATCATAGTATCATAGAAAAATATAAGCAGCTAATAACATTTTCTATCAGCAACATATTTACGAGCACAGTCTGACATACAAGCTAATTACATATTCACTTCCAAATTACCTGGTATATACATTTGCAAGTGTCGCTCATTTTATGCTGAATTCATCCAAAACCAAGCAATTCCTCTACAAAGAATCTACGCTTTATCCAGTTACAAAACCTAGATTTGGAACAACTTTGACAAAAAGAATTACTTCAAATTTTCACCAGTGTCACTAAACAGAAATTAGCACAAACACCTTTTTTAAGCCTATTCAACTGAGAAAAATGGAACTGCTACAGTTTGGGTTTCTAATCCCAAAGTGGATTACACAAACAACAATTTCATCAAAGGTTTTTTACAAAAAGCTTAGCATTACTTGCTATATCTTATTATTAAGGCAAATATTCTTCAAAGAACTATATGATTGGAATCTCCTTCTGATACCTAGTGACATTCTATTTGCTGACTGCAGTTAGAAGATTCAAAATGAAAACAAAAATACAAATACACTTTTTTTCTCTTGTCTTTATTGATTTAGACTTCAGAGCTACAGCCAAAAATAGTGCATCTGTAGAAAATTACCATACATGCTATCAATACAGCATCTTCAAATGTTTAGACCCCCCCCCAGAAAAAAAAAGTATTTCTAAACAGGAATGAAAAGCCTCTGTTAAAAACTGAATTCTAGCCACCATGTAAAATTTACCATGGCTCATTCAAGATATCGACACCCACTGCTGGAAACTTCACAAGGAATGATGAATGATACACAGAAGCTATGGCTCTGTTACAGGTACAGCCCAGTCTTCAGCACATTGTATGCCATTGAGATGGTAACCACATACCCAACCGCCCAAGACAAACCTCTGCCAGGCTGCGGAAGAGGGGTCAAGTACGCAATAGTGTGAAAGATCCTAGCCCCAGCGAAGATCCTGAAATGCAGCAAGGCTGTGGACAGCTCAGGGCCACTAAGAGCATACAGCAGTCCAATGCCAAGAAATGGGACAATATTTTCAAGGTCATTCAGGTGGCCTCTGGGGAAAGAAGCAAAGTTGTTTTACAGTGTTAAATTTTGTTGAACAAACCACTTCAAGCCTCATTATTTTTCAGCATCTTCAAAGAATGCTACTGTTAAGGCCTTAACACAACTGCTGCCTTCCCCTGCAGTGTGGGACTTGATTCAGTTCCTCAAATGGTTTTATCATGTTCACCTGAGATTGCTCTGGTGTCTCTTGTAGCATCCTGTTTATTTAAGCTTCTGTTCTTCTACATCAAAGGTCTTAGGCTTTTCTCTAGGATGTTGGTAATATTTTGGGACTTGCATCAGGTGTATGAGTGCATCTTGGTGGACAGAGATGCAAGGAAAGGAAGGGGAGGAAGAGAGAGAGCTGGAATCTTCTTATAACCTCTCTCAACTTAACATCAATTACCTGGATGACTGTGACTGCAAGTACTAGACCTCATGGCCCAGATGCTCTATTCCAATCCTATAAACTCAGCACGTAGCCCCCATAAAGAAAATACGAAACATGCTCTTCCTTGCATAGTCCTGACATTTCTCCCATCTTTTTACCCATTCTTGATTTTGAAGGTAATGTTCTGTGTTGCATATACAGTTTAGCTCAGAACAGTACTCAGCAATTTTTTGCATATAATGCAAACTGAACAGAGAATTTTACAAACACACTTTGTTCCTGCTGTATATGACAGTTTCCAGTGCCACTTTCAGACACCACTTCTTTAGTGAACTTCAAACAAAAAAAAAAATTATTTTTTCTATCAAAACTTCATGAAATTCATTCATCTTGAAGAATGTTACTTTTGAGCATTTAGCAGGTGTGAGTTATTCTTTTGGTTCATTTTCTTCACTACTAAGCACTAAAATAGCTGAAAAATGTTTGAATTCTGAAATTATAATATAATTTACTAAAAATGTATTGAGACAAATCCAGATCTTGAGGTATTCTTCCACATCTCTTCCTGAACCTTCCCTGATCCCTTTACCTCTTTAGAGAAATTATAATTCCAGCCAGATTTGCTGATTGGAAAAACCTTTAAGGCTTACTAATTATGTCAAATTTTACCGACAGCTAGAAACAGATCACTGTGTTGTTTTGCAGCTGCTTTTTGAACTCATTCATCATTACAAGCAAAAACATCCTCCAGCAATTGGGTTTTTCCAAATAAATACACTGAAGAAAGCAGTGAAGAAAGCAGTGTCTCGTCCTACACCTATAAATGTAAATCCTAGCCACTTACACAGAAGAGAAGTAAGCCATGCTTAAATCTATATGGCATTCTCTGTTGCTATGAAGCTTTCAAAAGAAGATATAGTAAACATTCAGTAGGAGGTACTGTTGTGAGAAAAAAAAGGATGCTGCAACACCAATGGAGTCACTAGAACCGGGCTGACTTAATAGTTCTGGGGAAGTCTCAACAGTTCTGCAAACCAATAGCACAGGATTTAAGAGCAGAGTCTTTTAAAAATCTGATCTGTGTTAATGACTCTGAGAGACAGTTGTCATTTTCCTAAGGTAATAACGCAAGTTAAAAAGGCATCTGGTAGTAAAGTCAGTATTGATTTTTTTGTCCTTTTAGAAACTACAAATAGAAAGAAATGACTCCTCACCAAAAAGTGCTCATTTTTAGCAAACAGTGAATTAAACAGTTAACAACTCCCTGAACAGCACAGGGCGAGAAAAGGAAAGTTCAGATCATTTTTATTGCCCACTGAGATTAGACTCTGAGATTTTAATCCAGGAGAGAAATAAATAAATACAGTAGACTTCATGGAACTAAAAACATCTACAGTTTCAAGAATGCACTGTTCTGAAATCAGAGTTGGTACTTGTTTTCAAAATCTTTCCCAATGGAGGTTTTAAAGAGAGCAGTTCATTCACATTTAAGTTTTTGGTACAAAAAAAAAAAAATCTAAAAAATCTCACATATATAGTAAATAAACCTTTAGCTTCACTAAGGAATAAGATATGGAAAACATTAAGACATTGGAGCTCTCCTTGTTAGCACAGGTATATCAAACAGTGCATCAAACAGCATCTCCAAAGATATGATTTTGGAAACAGATAATTTTTGCCACAAATAAAATTTAATACACTGCAACATTTAGCCCACTGAAATATAGTTTACATTCTGCTGTGACTCTTGTAGAGCCAAATACATACACTGCAGGTTGCACACTGCCATACTATCAATAGCCTTCTTCCAGAAGGTTGGTCAACTTTCCTGCATAATTGACACACTAGTGAGTAACCCCAATTCAATCTAGCAAAAAGAGCACAGGCTTCAACTCCCAATCACTACAATTTCCCAGATTAGGCCCTCATTAGAACTCTGAGTTCCATAGTAGTTTTACTCCTCTTCCCTCTGTTATTTCCTTTACATGTTAGCAAAAGATGCAACCATCACAGTTTATGCCTAAATTACATAGAAAGCTGATTTACACTTAGCATAACTCACTGCTTCATACTAACTCAACTTACAATCATATTTTACAATCTTCTTACCACTTCCCCCTTGTATACTGAATACTATCCAAGAGTTAGCCATGACAGTCAAACAATGATTTATTGTTTTAGTATGCATGCTGACCACCTGAATATGGAACAGTTTGTTCACTTAGACAAATTAATTTATAAGATTACAACAAAAAGCAACACAAAAGACACACAGGTTTGCCAAAGAGAACAGGGTGAAATTATTTCCCTTATTTAGTATTAAAGGCTATTTCATAATAATCTTTGATAGACTCCCATGCATACCTGCGCACACGTTCAACATCTGCATCAGTCCGCAGATATTTTTTAGCATTCTCGCCTTTACCAAATGATGATACATCTTCTGGGTTGGCAAATGCCTATTTCAAACATAAACATGCAAGAGACATTAGAAGCAAGAATGTTTCTGCTAGTCAAGGCAGCTTGATATAAAGGTCATTCTTTTTACTCATGCCCCTAACTCCAC